CAATCTGTCCAGGTCCCTCTGTATCCTATCCCTACCCTCCAGCGTATCTACCACTCCTCCCAGTTTAGTGTCATCTGCAAACTTGCTGATTATGCAATCCACACCATCCTCCAGATCATTAATGAAGAATCATTAATATCTAGCCGGCTGCCAACTCCCCTTGGGGCACTCCGCTAGATACCGGCTGCCAACTAGACTTGGAGCCATTGATCACTACCCGTTGAGCCCGACAATCTAGCCAACTTTCTACCCACCTTGTAGTGCATCCATCCAGCCCATACTTCTTTAACTTGCTGACAAGAATACTGTGGGAGACCGTGTCAAAAGCTTTGCTAAAGTCAAGGAATAACATGTCTACTGCTTTCCCTTCATCCACAGAACCAGTAATCTCATCATAGAAGGCGATTAGATTAGTCAGGCATGACCTTCCCTTGGTGAATCCATGCTGGCTGTTCCTGATCACTTTCCTCTGATCTAAGTGCTTCAGAATTGATTCCTTGAGGACCTGCTCCATGATTTTTCCAGGGACTGAGTCGAGGCTGACTGGCCTTTAGTTCCCAGGATCCTCCTCCTTCCCTTTTTTAAAGATTGGCACTACATTAGCCTTTTTCCAGTCTTCCGAGACTTCCCCCGATCACCATGAGTTTTCAGAGATAATGGCCAATGGCTCTGCAATCACATCCGCCAATTCATTTAGCACTTTCAGATGCAACGTATCCAGCCCCATGGACTTGTGCACGTCCAGCTTTTCTAAATAGTCCCGAACCACTTTTTTCTTCACAGAGGGCTGGCCACCTCCTCCCCACGCTGTGCTGCCCAGTGCAGTAGTCTGGGAGCTGACCTTGTTCGTGAAGACAGAGGCAAAAAAAGCATTGAGTACATTAGCTTTTTCCACATCCTCTGTCACTAGGTTGCCTCCCTCATTCATTAAGGGGCCCACACTTTCCTTGGCTTTCTTCTTGTTGCCAACATACCTGAAGAAACCCTTCTTGTTACTGTTAACATCTCTCGCTAGCTGCAACTCCAGGTGTGATTTAGCCTTCCTGATTTCATTCCTGCAGAAGTAAGGGTGGCAATACCATGACCCTCCTAAAGTAACCTTGCAACCTCCCTTCTACAACCCCCTTTTGGGTCATGACCCAGTTTGAGAAACGCTGGTCTCCCCCGTGAAATCTGGACTTTTGTGTGCTTTTACCCTTTACTATACAGATTTCATGGTCCATGATGCGTTTTTTATGGTTGTGCATTTGGTAGGGCCCTACTTATGCCCTTGCCAAGTTCCACTGAAGTCAGTAGGCCTCCATGCTGGCACAGAGGACTGCCTGGGCAGATCAGATTGCAGGACTTCCTTTCTGGAGCTTTAAGGATGTAAGCTGTCTTCAATAGTGATGGTGTCTTTGTTTTTTGAGAAAGGCCTGGCACGCTTATGGGCACTACAAACTCATAAAAATAATCTTGTTACTCCCCTGTACAAGATGTTGCTTTTATTAATGTGTCATATGCACATCTTTTTACCTTCAGTGTACTGCCACACATTTAATTTTCCTATTCCTCTATGCTCTCAACAACATTTTTAGTTCTCTTTCTGTTTTCTCCACACAAATGCCTTTATTGATACTTATTTGGTAATGGAAAGATGTTGCTGTTGCTACAGGTGTCAGTATGGCTGACCCCAACAAATAGCATCTGTTACCTCAACCACTGTACATGTTGTTCCTCAATTTTGCAAGTTTTCCCTCATCTGATTTGGCTTTTCAGAGGCTCTAGAAAGTGCTTTCTACACTAGCTGATCAATGCATTATCACATTATAGAGGGACTTCCTCAAGTAAGAGATCCCATTTCCAGACTCACTGCAGCAGCACTCAGTATTAGAAACCAATCCAATTTTCTTAAAGGAGTTAGGAATTTATATTCTCTACAATTTTTTCCTACTCCTTATTTCAACAGGAAATACTCTGCTAAGGTGTATTTACCTTAGTTCTCAGGCAACAACCTTCTTTCAAATCTAGAAGGGATGTTTTGCCATAGCTCAAAACACAGGGACTCTACCCTCTGTGAAGGCAGCAATGTTGAGTTCTTGGTGAAATAGGAGTTTGAACATATGGAAGGAGTGTGATAACCTGTCAGTTGGTAAATTTGGGCTAAGAGTACAATTAGTTGAAAGGGACAGGATTAAGCAGCTTAGGGTCAATAGTTCTCTTTAAATGGTTATAATTGTTAAAGGAAATCAACTTCAATCCAAGGGTCAAATTCTGTGTCTTCCCCCGGAAAAGGTCGAATGAGGTTGGCTCAAAAATTTTCTGCCCTTGTTCTGGCTCCAAAGAAAGCCCACTCCTCACACCTTCAATGAGAGCATTTCTGAGGAAGTACCTGGCTGCTTTTTACATATTCACATACAGATGCCCTCAGCTATTGCCCCAGCATAGTTTATTCTCACCCTGCGGGCTGCTTAAAGCAAGAATGCAAACATGTTAACATCCATCCCCTCTAGTTGACCAGACTGGCAGGGGATAGGTTCCCTTGGGGTCCTGGTGAGCCTGGCTATGGGCATTGTCACCTGTCCCTGCAGCCTAATTGGGCCATTCAAAACCTACTGCCTGGGCATCCCCTGGCCTTGGGGCTTTTAAGGTTCTTCCTTGAGTGAATGGACATTTGACACCCAACCTGCAATCCCAACCCTTCCCCACCTCCTTTATCTGGTTATGTCCATTGCTGCAGTTGAGTTATGGGTTATGCAAGGTTTACAGGTCTGCTCTTCCAGTAACCTAGTTGGGTTGGAAAGGACATTTCTTAATGGCAAATTAACTGTTTTTCTGTCCACAAAATATCTAGAAAACTTAACAAATGAGATGTTTTCATGAGTACATCCCAACTTTTGTAGGTTGCAGTGTGAGTTCTTTATAGTTTTTATGGATTGTAATTCCAAGATTGTGGCCAGATGGTGATTGGCCTGCGCCTGTTGTTTAACACAGGGTAGGATTCAATGTGTTTGCACAGTGTGCACCTTTCACCTGTGCCGTTAAGCTTCAGACGTGGAGAAGGCAGGAGGAATTTGGATGTTTGGTGCCAAATATCTAGGTTGGTTGTATGGAGAGCCCCATCTTAAGTTATGGGTTTAGCTTGCATGCTACCCACTACCTGCGGGGTAGTAGTTTGGATTGAGGGAACTGGTTGGTATCTTCATTTACCTTCATGTCATGTTTTAAAGTAGCAGACTTCCGGGCTACCCATATCCCTATGTATTAGCCTTATTCTACTGCAGTGTTTGTCCATTCTGCTTTTCCAACGTATCTATGGACTTGTCTGTGGGGCAATTCAGCCACGTTATCTGCACTGGCTAGAATTTTGTGTTTCAATACTTTAAAGAAAATCTATTTTTTCCCCTGGAAACTGTCTGTCTGTCTTTTAATTTTTTGTTGGAAAATTTCTTTCTTTCTTTCTTTCTTTCTTTCTTTCTTTCTTTCTTTCTTTCTTTCTTTCTTTCTTTCTTTCTTTCTTTCTATACAAAAACATAGACCTCTACTTTTTAAAAAGTATAATGAAAACAGTATGTAATGGTTTTTTGCAGTTTCTGTTGGCTGTCTCAGAAACAGTTAATCAATAATGTTAGAGTAAATACATCCCTGGTGTATGTCCATTGATTTAAATGAAGTTACACCACAGATGAATTTTATCCAACTCTGTTAACTCTGTTTAGATCAAGGGATGAATTTGGCTCATTCTTCCCAGGAAAATGAGTATGTTCACTGAGGACATCATTAATAATAACACTGCCCAGAAGTAAACTCAAAGGACCAGATTTTTAAAATCAGTCTCTAAGCATTGCAAGCAAGTTTTGTATACTCAAAACATGTAAAGTGCATGCATACTGGCATTTGAATGAGCAAGTTGTGAGTACTTAGACATGTACCTAAATTATTTGTAAGCCATTTGTTATCCAAACTTGGATGGAGAGTGTTAGAAGCCAAAATGAGGACAGCTAAAGATTTGGTTCCAAGCCTCCTGTGTGTGTTTGTTGCATGAGCAACAAAAGGACCAGGGAAGGGAGGACAGAACAGTGATTTATTTTCCCAAGTATATACTGTTTAAGAGTGATGCTGGACAGTGTCCATTACCAGATTACACTATCAATAGTTTTAGTATTATAAATAGTATGATATCATACTAGTCTGATATTTTCCCCAGTCTTTGAAATATTTAACATTGTCGAGAATGCCCACATAATCATCAAATTTTATTGTCTTTCTCTGCATATCCAGAATTCATCAATGGATAAAAATAAAAAAGAGAAATCTTTAAAAAATAAAACAAAAATTTTATCCTGTGGTAATTTATAGTTGCTTCCTTTTATCTATTTAAGATGCTTCAGTTCACTTTGTTAGCAAATTTTTCTAGACAAGTACACCAATTTATTATTACTAAGCATCCTTCTTAGGAATGTCTGAAATGTCACATCTATTGTTTTAAATAAGATCATAAAGTTAATTTTTAACCACACAAGTGATGCACTAACAATAGAGCAAACAAAACATAATTAATAGTTTTATGTCATTCATCAAAACCATTTTATTTGCTGTCAGCACCTGCCAAATGGAAAAAATGTTTTGACTTAAATTAAACATTGTCAATAAATTAAGCCACTTATTGTTGGAAATATAAAGCGTGTGTGTGTGTATATATATATATTGTGTGTGTATGAATTTATATACACACTGTGTGTAGAATATACACACATCACCAGATGTATTTAAATCCCTCATTTGGGAGAAAATGAAACGCATATCTGTTTGCATTGTATATATGGCAGAAATTGTAACGTCATAGCCATGGATAACCCCACTACATTAGTTCTAGGGCTTGTGTTAAAAAAACTTTTTTTGTCTCTTCCTGTATGAGGTTTTTGTGTTCATTTTTATAATTAAACTCAAATGTATTTAACTGAAAAACCTTTTTAAAATAATTGTATCTATATTTCATTATGTGTATCTCCTCACAGGAAGAGCCATACCAAATCACAACAGTGGTTCACCTGAAGAAACAGAGGTCCCATTTATTCATCACATGTGCATCTTGGACATCTAGAATAAAGTCCTGACGGGAAACACTTGATGGATGAAATACTTTGCTGTTGTGAAATTAGCTGGTCTTCTCATGCTTTTTATTTATAATCTGTTATATATTCTTGCACAGAATAATTTGGCTTGGAACAGGGCAAGCCAGAGACTGGTTGGTTTTCAAGCAAATGAGGAATATTTGAGGACTAGGACAATATTAATGATATGTTATGCTACAGTTAGTAAACTTTTCCATTCCAAAAACTTATGGAGTAATGCTATCAAGTTTTGGAATATTATTAAGTCTTTGGAAAAGAAATCAACTTCAGCTCATTTGCCAACAATGATTAATTCTAACGTTAATGATCTGATAAGCAACAGATGGTAGAGACTTGTAATAATTGAGTAGTGTTGTAGAGGCAAGTTATATACAGTACTATGTGATTATGCTTTAAAACAGGACCATAAATTACAAACATATCTTAAGCTTTCTTTAAAAATGAAGAACCTAAGTCTGAATTCTCAAGCTGTGAATTCCACCTTTTTCCATGGCCTATTTCTGAAATAGAAGCCTTTCAAGAACTTGTCAGTTTAGATTAAGAAAAGTCCTATGGGTGCTCCTAGAAATGAAAGACTAGTAAGCCTTACTTCTGGACCTGCTAACTCCTTGAAACAGAACACCTAGATGAACATATATTTGATAAGAGCACACCAGCAAGGACTCCACAAAGGTAAATCACACTTCTCCAATCTACTAGAATTCTTTAAGTTTACCAACAAAATAGCAGATAAAGCAAAACATGTTAATATAATTTATTTTCCTTTCATAAAGCTTTTGATAAAGTACCTCATAAAGGGCATTTAAAGAATCTAAATAGTGAGCAGCAAAAGTTTGGTCATGGATTAGAAATAGGATAAGAGGAATAAATGATCCATTTTCAACATGGCAAAAAGGTTAACAGTAGGTTCCCAGAGGATGGAGTCCAGCAATGGTGTTTCATATATTAATTTTCATGAAGTGGCAAATTTGCATATGACAAAATAATTTAGCTTAGTCAAGCCTAGAGGAGTCTGTGAGGCATTCCACAGGCGTGCCCTAACAAAGTTAGGCAACACAATGGCAAATAAAATTTAATATTTTTAGATGCATGGTAATGCACATTGGATAGAATTATTTGCACTATTCATAAACATTGATTGAGTTCTAAATGAGCTATACCCATTGAGGGAAAAGACCTGGGGTGAAATCTTGGCTTTACTAACATCAGTGGGAGTTTTGCCATTTATTTCAGTGGACCAAGATTACATCCCTAATCATGAGGACAGCTCATTGGAAAAAGTCTGCTCAATTCAAAGTGGTGGTCCAAAAAGCAAACAAAATAGTCGGATGAATAAAGAATTGGATAGAAAATAATACTGAACATATTTTAATATCAGTGAATGATACACCCACTTGGTGAATACAGTGTTGAATGCTCCTCTCCCTATATGAAAAAAATATAGAGCAGAAACAAAAAGGGTCCAGAGACCAGCTACAAAAGTGATCAGTGGTGTGGAGAGACTTCCTTATATGGATAGATTGAAAAGAAAAAGACAAGTTTAAGGCAAGAGAGGAGATGGATAAGAAGGGATTTGATAGTGGCATATAAAATAATAAATGAGGTACAAATGTTAAATCTGGCTCTCCTATTTATCACTTCTCATGTAATTGCAAAGGGACATCCCATACAATAGCATGTCAACAAATTTAAAATGTATAAAAGGGCTTTTTTTTTTTTTTTGGAACAGTGAAACACATAGCCAAAGGATATCATTGGAGCCAGGAACATTGCAGGATTTCCAAGCCCTGGTCTACACTATGAGTTTAGGTCGAATTTAACAGTGTTCGATCGATTTAACCCTGTACCCGTCCACACAACCAAGCCATTTTTGTTGACTTAATGGACTCTTAAAATCGATTTCTGTACTCCTCCCTGACGAGGGGATTAGCACTGAATGAAATCGACATCGCCGGGTCGAATATGGGGTATTGTGGATGCAATTCGATGGTATTGGCCTCCGGGAGCTATCCCAGAGTGCTCCATTGTGACCACTCTGGACAGCACACTCAACTCGGATGCACTGGCCAGGTAGACAGGAAAAGACCCGCAAACTTTTGAATTTCATTTCCTGTTTGGCCACCATGGCAAGCTGATCAGCACAGGTGACAGTGCAGATCTCATCAGCAGAGGTGACCATGGAGTCCCAGAATCACAAAAGAGCTCCAGCATGGACCAAACAGGAGGTACTGGATCTGATCACTGTATGGGGAGATGAATCCATGCTATCAGAACTCCATTTGAAAAGACAAAATGCCAAAATATTTGAAAAAATCTCCAAGGGCATGATGGACAGAGGCTATAACAGCAGTGCTGCATGAAACTTAAGGAGCTCAGGCAAGCCTACCAAAAAACCCAAGAGGCAAACACCTGCTCAGGGTCAGAGCCCCAGACATGCCGCTTCTATGATGAGCTGCATACCACTCTAGGGGGTGCCCCTACAACTACCCCACACCTGTACGTGGACTCCTGCAGGGGAGTCTCACACAACAGGAATGAGGAAGATGATGAGGATGGGGAGGTTGAAGATAGCGTACACCAGGCAAGTGGAGAAACCCTTATCCCCGACAGCCAGGAACTGTTTATCACCCTGGAGTCAATACCCTCCCAACCTGGGCTCCCGGACCTTGAAAGCAGAGAAGGCACCTCTGGTGAGTGTAATTTTGTAAATATAATTACAGTTTAAAAGCAAGTGTGTTTAATGATTAATTTGCCCTGAAGACTTGGGATGCATTTGCAGTCAGTACAGCTACTGGAAAAGTCTGTTAACATGCCTGGGGATGGAGCGGAAATCTTCCAGGGACATCTCAATGAAGCTATCCTGGAGGTACTCCCAAAGCCTTTGCAAAAGGTTTCTGGGGAGGGTAGCCTTATTGTGTCCTCCATGGTAGGACACTTTACCATGCCAGACCACTAGCACGTAATCTGGAATCATTGCTAAAGAAAGCATGTCAGCAAGTGGTCCTGGTGTTTGTTGGCATTCAAGCAACATCTCTTCTTTATCTCTCTGTGTTATCCTCAGGAGAGTTATATCATTCATGGTCACCTGGCTGAAATAGGGGAATTTTATTAAGGGGACATTCAGAGGTGGCCATTCCTGCTGGGCTGTTTGCCTGTGGCTGAAAAGAAATCATCCCTGCTGTTAGCCACGCGATGTGGGGAGGGGTGAAGCGATTATCCCAGAGAATTGGGTGTGGAGGAGGGGTTAGTTGGGTTTGTGCTGCACGTTAACCTGAAAACATCAGCCCCTCCTTTTAAATGTGCCTTTTTCAGTTTTACTCCCCCTTTTTTTCCTCCAGCAGCTGCAAATGTTTCAACGCTGCCACTAGCATCTCCATCCCAGAGGCTAGCGCAGGTAAGAAGGCGAAAAAAACGCATTCGCAATGAAATGTTCTCTGAGCTCAGGCAGTCCACCCAAACTGAAAGAACCCAGCAGAATGCTTGGAGGCAGACAATGGCAGAGTCCAGGAAAGCACAAAATGAACACAAGGACAGATGGCTGGAGCAAGAGGAGAGGTGGCGGCAGCGTGATGAGAGGAGGCAGGATGCAATGCTGAGGCTACTGGAGGATCAAACTGATATGCTCAGGCGTATGGTTGAGATGCAGGAAAGGGACAGACCACCACTGCAGCCCCTGTGTAATCAACCACCCTCCCCCACAAGTTCCATAGCCTCCTCACCCAGACGCCCAAGAATGCGGGGGGGGGGGAGGGAGATGGCTCCGGGCACCCAACCACTCCACCCCAGAGGACTGCCCAAGCAACAGAAGGCTGGCATTCAATAAGTTTTGAAGTGCAGCGTGGTCTTGTCCTTCCCTCCTCCCCCACCCCTCCCAGGCTACCTTGGCAGGTATTCCCCCTATTTGTGTGACAAATTAATAAAGAATGCATGAATTTGAAACAACAATGACTTCATTGCCTCTGCAAGCGGTGATCAAAGGGGGAAAGGGAGGGCGGTTGGCTTACAGGGAAGTAGAGTGAACCAAGGAGGCGAGTTTTCATCAAGGAGAAACAAACAGTACTGTCACACCGTAGCCTGATCAGCCATGAAACTGGTTTTTAAAGCTTCTCTGTTGTGCAGTGCACACTGCTGTGCTCTTCTAATTGCCCTGGTGTCTGGCTGCACGTAATCAGTGGCCAGGCGATTTGCCTCAACTTCCCACCTCGCCATAAATGTCTCCCCCCTTACTCTCACAGATATTGTGGAGCACACAGCAAGCAGTAATAACGATGGGAATATTGGTTTTGCTGAAGTCTAACCGAGTCAGTAAACTGCGCCAGAGCACTTTTAAACGTCCAAATGCACATTCTACCACCATTCTGCACTTGCTCAGCCTGTAGTTGAACAGCTCCTGACTACTGTCCAGGCTGCCTGTGTACGGCTTCATGAGCCATGGCATCAAGGGGTAGGCTGGGTCCCCAAGGATAACTATAGGCATTTCAACATCCCCAACGGTTATTTTCTGGTCTGGAAAGTAAGTCCCTTGCTGCAGCTGTTCATAAAGACCAGAGTTCCTGAAGATGCGAGCGTCGTGTACCTTTCCTGGCCATCACACGTTGATGTTGGTGAAACGTCACTTGTGATCCACCAGAGCTTGCAGCACCATTGAAAAGTACCCCTTTCGGTTTATGTACTGGCTGCCTTGGTGCTCCGGTGCCAAGATAGGACTATGCGTTCCGTCTATCGCCCCCCCACAGTTAGGGAATCCCATTGCAGCAAAGCCATCCACTGTGACCTGCACATTTCCCAGAGTCACTACCCTTGATAGCAGCAGCTCAGTGATTGCATTGGCTACCTGGATCACAGCAGCCCGCACAGTAGATTTGTCCACTCCAAATTGATTCCTGACTGACCGGTAGCTGTCTGGCATTGCAAGCTTCCAGAGGGCTATCACCACTCACTTGTGAACTGTGAGGGCTGCTCTCATCTTGGTATTCTTGTGCTTCAGGGCAGGGGAAAGCAAGTCACAAAGATCCATGAAAGTGCCCTTACACATGCGAAAGTTTCGCAGCCACTGGGAATCATCCCAGACCTGCAACACTATGTGGTCCCACCAGTTTGTGCTTGTTTCCTAGGCCCAGAATCAGCATTCCATGGCATGAGCCTGCCCCATTGCCACCAGGATGGCCAAATTGCTGGGACCTGTGCTTTGAGAGAAGTCTGTGTCCATGTCCACATCACTCTCATCACCGTGCTGCCGTTGCCTCCTCGCCTGCTTTTGCGGGTTCTGGTTCTGCATATACTGCATGATAATGCGCGAGGTGTTTACAATGCTCATAACTGCCACGGTGATCTGAGCGAGCTTCATGCTTGCTGTGGTGTGGCATCTGCAGGAGAGCAGAGTTGCAGGGGAAGCGGTGATTGGATGACCAGTTTTGCAGACCTACTGCACCGTCTGCTGCTAGGACACAACAGCTGAGCGGGCTGCACACTTGCCATGGTATGGCGAGACAAAAGCAGCCGAGCAGAGTTGCAGCGGAAGCGGCAGGTGACAGCAGTCATATAGAGGACCTGCGAGACCAGCAGGAGAGCAGAGTGGTAGCGGAAGTCGTGAATGACGACGGTCATATAGAGGACATGTGAGGTAGATTTCATAGCACCAGGAGAGCAGAGTGGCAACGGAAGTGGTCGTTCGATGCCGATGGTTAGCCGTTCTACTGCACTGTCTGCTGAAAGCAGTATGGCACCCGCACGGAAAAAAGGCGTGAAACGATTGTCTGCCATTGCTTTCACGGAGGGAGGGGCAACTGATGACATGTACCCAAAACCACCCGCAACAATGTTTTTGTCCCATCAGGCTTTGGGGGCTCAACCCAGAATTCCAATGGGTGACAGAGACTGCGGGAACTGTGGGATAGTTACCCACAGTGCAATGCTCCGAAAGTCGATGCTAGACTTGGTACTTTGGACGCACTCCGCAGACTTAATGCACTTAGTGGGGACACACACAATCAACTGTACAAAGTCACTTTCTAAAAAATTGCCTTCTATAAATTTGACCTAATTTTGCACTGTGGAACAGATTGTTTAGCATAAGTAGCTAGTACATATTATAAGTGACCATTCAAGGTAGAGTGGCCAGTTAACACCTCTGCAGTCATAGGACAAAAAGAGGGGGTTAGTAGGTTACAGATTGTTGTAATAAGCCATGAATCCAGTGTCTGTTCAGTCCATGATTTTTGGTGTCGAGCAGAGTCATGAATTGAAGCTCCCAGGCTTGTCTTTTGAAAGTGTTGTGTGCAGGTTTCCTTTGAGGATTAGGACTGATAGGTCAGATATATGGTCCCTTACAGTATGTGCTAACTACTTATGCTAAACAATCTGTTCCAGCTTGCATTTTATTGTGACAGTGGATGTACCTTTCCCAGACTTGAAGAAGAGCTGTGTGTGGCTTGAAAATTTGTCTCTCTCACCCACAGAAGATAGTCCAATAAAAGACATTACCCCACCCACCTTGTCTCTCTCTAATATCCTGGGACCAACATGGCTACAACTACACTGAATGAGCATATTAAAACATTTAAAGTAGTCCCTCGTGCCCCCATCTCATTAATTAATTAATTAATTCATTAATCTATTTATTTCTAATGCCAAAGTCCGTTTTCGCAGGTCATTTAAAAATGCCTGTTAATCAAAATATTTTATAATTTTTGGTATTATAAGAAGTGGGGAACTTAGCTTATAAAGCAATCAGAGCTTGATCAAAGACCGCTGTCAACCCTCCCTCCTGCACACATGCACATTGGAACTTCAGGGCAGTTTGTAAGATTTGATCAACAGTAGATCATCCAGTAATGATAGCCAGAGATTTGAAGAATCAAATTGCAATTTTACTACTGAAGCTCAGGAGATGTATTCGTGTTCTGTTTCAGCTCTCTAGGTAAAACGACTTCTGATTTGGTATTTCAAGCAGTGAATTGCCGAAATAATTCTGTGGCATCTGAGTTGCAAGAAGTTGGTTCATAACGTCCTACCATTGTCAATGAGCATTTTTTTTTGCAACGTGAATTTTTTAGAAGTCATTTTTATGCTACAGTACAGTTTCCTACACAAAACAGTAGAAACAGCTTACTAGCCAGAAATGCTTAATGATTAGGGTGGTGCACAACTGAGGCATTACCAGTGAACTAGCTCACTTACTGATTTGTTGCCAGGTAGCGAGCCAATTAGCAGTGCTGGTTATTATTTACATTTCATGCTATATATCACTAAAATTGTGTTGTTGATTTATCATTTATATTGTTGTATTGTCAGCATAATTTATTCAGATCATGCTGAGAAACCTGGAGAATTAAGTAATAAAGAGAATGGCATAGAATATGTCTATATTCAGAAATATTTACTTGGTTTTTAATGAGACTGCAATATTAAGGTAAATCATGGATTACTTGGCTATTAAATTGTTTTGGAAGCAAACCTGTTAAAAAGTTTATTCCTTATATTTTCTGTAAGAAAGTGGTTTGCTTTATTTCTAATTTGATTTTTTTGTTAAATAAGTTGCTTTTATATTTGTTGGCTTAAGGACTAAAATCATACAAACCCAAATGACTAGTAGATTATAACAAAGACGATGGAAATTAATATTGTGTTTAAGGTTTCCAGTGTCCATTATTTGTAGAAGGCTTTTTCTTCTCTATTCTCTTGCTATGTATTATGACTGTATCTTCCTAATGGAAATCAGGCTTAGTTAATTGTTTTTTTGGACTTAGACATTTTCTGTGGCCCATTCTGGAAGTATAATATATATGGTTAAACAAATAGGGGGGCAAACCTCTGAAATCTACAGGATGTAAATACTAACAATGTTTAAGGGCTCTCAAAACATGAATAAAATGGAATTACATATTCCATATTACAAAATGGGATATGAACTTATTTTTGGTTTTTGTGGTTTTTAGAGTCAAAACGAAATTACTTTAAAGTGTGTTGATGCTACATACAAAACATGCTCACTGTCTTCTGATGCAAGTCAGGTGATCTTGTACTGATTTATATACAAATATACACGCACAATGTCTAATCAAATTCTCTGAGAGGGGTGTGTGTGTGTGTGTGTGTGTGTGTGAAAGAGAGAGAGAGCTTTTTCTCCAAATCCCAAACGTTGACCCAGGAGATATTTTTTTCTACACAGGATATGCTCTGCTAACTAGCAAAGGACTACTACATGTATGTTTTATAAGCTTTGACTTTTTTGCTGGAGGGGTACAGAACTTTTCTAGCCCCATTGTATCCGCTGATATGATAGCCCATTGCCTAATAATCTCCCACCTTGCCTTACTGAAATCTTTTTGACTTTCTGGTAGACTGGAAATTTGTCCAGTGTTGTTCTTCTAGTCAATAATCCTTGCTTGGAAGAGTACTGTATGGAAAAATCCTGGAAAAAATGTTCATGGTTCAGAGACAATGCAATTTCTTTAGAAGTTTGTGAAAACTATCTTTCTCTAGCACCAAGAATTCAGTATTAAGTGAAAAAAGTGTGTTGTTTTTCATGGATCTATCAAAAATACTTTTTTTGGGGAGGGTGGGCTACTTTTGCCAATACTGCTTATTTTTTCTGCACATTGCTCTGATATAAATGTAGAAACAACTAAAACACATTTCCTCTAGTCTATAAAAATGTGGTGATCTTCTGAAAGTGACCTTTTATTTAAACAGCCCTATTGACTCCCACGCTTGCATTTCCTGCCAGCTTCATGACACGATTCTCAATTTTTGGAAGGCTTGCTCTTCATTGTGACCCTTGTGAGCACATTCAGACCTGAGATGGAGAATGAGCCTACCAGGCAAATAGCAATAAGCCTTGAGCAGCCATCTCACCAGTTGTTTAGCTTAGGTCCTGTCATAAATATAAAGGGAAGGGTAACCACCTTTCTGTATACAGTGCTATAAAATCCCTCCTGGCCAGAGGCAAAATCCTTTAACCTGTAAAGAGTTAAGAAGCTAAGGTAACCCCGCTGGCATCTGACCGAAAATGGCCAATGAGGGGAAAAGATTCTTTCAAATCTGGACCGGGAGAACAAATGGTTTGGTCGGTCTGTGTGATGCTTTTGCCGGGAATAGATCAGGAATGCAAGCCTTACCACTCCTGTAAAGTTAGTAAGTAATCTAGCTAGAAAATGCATTAAATTTTCTTTTGTTTAATGGCTTGTAAAATAAGCTGCGCTGGAGGGAATGTGTATTCCTGTTTTTGTGTCTTTTTGTAACTTAAGATTTTGCCTAGAGGGATTCTCTATGTGTTGAATCTGATTACCCTGTAAAGTATTTACCATTCTGATTTTACAAAGGTAATTCTTTTACCTTTTCTTTAAATAAAATTCTTCTTTTAAAAACCTAATTAATTTTTCACTGTTCTTAAAATCCAAGGATTTGGGTCTGTGTTCACCTGTACCAATTGGTGAGAATTATTATCAAGCCTTCTCCAGGGGTGTAGGGCTGGGGGGGGGGGGCAGGTATTTTGGAGGAAGAGATCTCCAAGTGGTGTCTTTCCCTGTTCTTTGTTTAAAACGTTTGGTGGTGGCAGCATACTGTTCAAGGACAAGGCAAAGTTTGTATCTTGGGGAAGTTTTTAACCTAAGCTGGTAAGAATAAGCTTAGGGAGTCTTTCATGCAGGTCCCCACATCTGTACCCTAGAGTTCAGAGTGGGGAAGGAACCTTGACAGGTCCTAGTTCAGCAAAGCACTTAGGGATGTGCTTAATTTTAAGCGTGTGCTTAAATCCCATCAGGTGTTCAATCTGCCAGGGTTTACAAAAATCAGGTCAAAACACTGTTTTCTATAATACTGAATGGGGTGGCTCCTGAAAATCGGAACAGTCTTGGTTTTCAGAGACACACCGTAATCTTATTTATTGATTTTAAAAATAACGGAGAGTCTTGGTCATTTGTATAAATGCAGAATGGGGTATGACCATTGAGGATAATTTTTTGGTGGCGGAAGGGTTGAAGAGGAATTAGTCTTTTTGTTGGTGGGTGCAATATGTTTAGCAGACCCAGCAAAAAATGCTAAGTTCAACCCTGTGCCTGTAGAGTGGAGAAGTGTGTGTGTGGAGGAAATACAAAGGCACTTGGACTGGTCTTTATGCTAGAGCCTGATACGGAGAAAGAGGGACTCATGCTTTCTTGGCCATCATGTAACCTTAAAGTGTGACACTTCCTGGTGAGTAGGGCTAATGTAATAATCTCCCAGGCAGAAATCAAAGCTGTTCTCTGACTTTTATGTTACACATTGAGTTAAGTGTTACACTAGAGTGCAGGGAGTGTGATAACATGAATTATCTGGATACTACAATAGAACAGTGTTAATTTGCACTAGTCACTAGGAGACCTATTGTGAATAATTGAATTTTATGAAGTGAAGAAACACAATTTACAAAACACCACCACCACAAATCACAAGGCTCATGCATCACAAAATGCACGTTGTTCATTTATTTTGACAACTGTAGTTTAGTTTAAATTTTATTTCTTCATGATGTACTCGTACATTTAATGTAATATATTTTGTAAAAATAATGAACTCTAAT